GACTCGCCCCCCCCTGCCATGGGCAGGGACACGTCGAATTAAACTATGTCGCCCAAGGCTCTGTCCAACCTGGCCTTGAACACTGCCGGGGTAGAGCATTCACAGCTTCCTTGGGCAACCCATTCCAGTGCCTCACCACCCTTACAGCAAAGAACTACTTCTTTATATTTAACCTGAACTTTCCCTGTTTAAGTTTGAACTCAGTACCTTGTCCCATCACTACTGTTCTGATTTACCTGTTCTCCTCCTTTGCAGGGATCCGGTTCAAGTGCAGCAGTCCCAGGCAGCTCTGGAGTCGGAACAACCAGACAGTTTACGCGACAAAGGATAACGCGGGTGAACCTCAGGGACCTCATATTTTGTTTAGAAAATGAGCGAGAGACAAGCCATTCACTATTGCTATATAAAGCATTCCTTAAGTAATGGAAAAGATCAAGGTATTTTTGACGGAGAGACGCCTGAGGACATTTTTTAATATATTTACAAATTACGCCTTTTTGTAACAAGCAAATGGGATATTGTTTAAAAAACAACCACCTCTTTACATGGAACAGTTTTATATTCCTGTTTATAAATAAACTCTTCAGTATCAGAGAAATACATTTCTGTAACAGTGAGGATACTTACAAGGCCTGTGGAGACTATAAAAGGACAATTAAATTTTAACTCATCTCTTTGATTGAGTGGCCTTCTTGCCAAACAAGCCATATATAAAGACTGATGGAATCGTTTAGCAAATAACTAGCTACCCTTTGTCAGCCCTGTAGCAGTTTCGACATTAATTGTGCATTTTAGTTCAGTTTTATTCAACTAAATCAACTCTATAGGCATATGTCTACAGCAGATGACCTCATTTCATTTAGCTTTTTTTTTTAAACAGTCAGTTAGCAAAGCAAACTGATTATTTTTAAGAATATTTATCTTTTTCCCCAAAATGTTCAAAATCTAGAGGGATATACAGTTAATTTTAAACATAACCTCAATTTTAATCACATTATTGCTTATTAGAGGCCCTGAAATCCCATAAAGGAGGGTTACTTCTGAATGTTTTAGCAGCATCTGTAAAAATGCATTTTTATTTGCTATAGTTTGTAAAGCTGTAAAGTTAAAAAAGGAAAAAAAAGGAAAAAAAGAGAAACCTTTTCAGCATAAATATATTTTACTTGCACTGTGTTTTTTAGCTAAAGTGAAAGCTTAGATTAAATAAAATCGAAGTTGAGAGGAATCATCAAAAAGACTGTTTCTCAGTGTGAATCAAGTGTCGAAAAATGGTTGGTGTATTTTGTCAGTAATTGTACATAATTTTTGGCACATAACATAAAAATGGCTATGTAAACTATAATTATTTTGCTAAAAGACTGTATGCAAGCTGTGGGCCTACTTTAAAGATGTCCAGAGCAAAGTCCCTTCTTTGTACCTATTTTTTTATTACAAATATACTAATTGGTTCTTTATATTTTCAGAGGTTATTGTATTAAATTGTCTATTGATAGTACTTTTATGACTGTAAATACTTTGGCTTTCTTTGTGTGAACTCTCATGGTAGAATTTAACTCTCTTGCGTGTAAACTGAATGCTGATCAGTATTTTTATCAACACCTGACAACTGTTACACCCCTTTTATTTTGTCTTTTAGGAAATCCTGTCTTTCCATTTTTTTTCATGTAAATTTTGCACAGTTACTTGTTCATATGTAAATATTTTACTTTCAAAAATGAAGTTTTTAATTGCTATTGTTTTATATAGGATTGAAAGAAAATTAACTCCTTTATTAAAAACAAATTTATCTGTATTTGCTAATGTATTTTTCTCTCTAAATCTTTTTTTCCTCTTGGATTTATTTTTCTTGGTACAGTAAAAGATTAGTCTGCCTGCGGGGATGCTGTTTCCTAAAGATGCACTTTGGGGGGGTTTATATTGTTGTGTCAGGTTGGGGGTATGTAACTTTATGAATCTTGGCATTTCATTGTTGTCTGAGGGGTCTTGGACTAAGACCAGTGGAGGGTGGGTTTGTTTTGTTTGTTTTTTTAAGTTTCTGAAGAGATCTTAAAAGTATTTTGGGTTTGTTTAGTGAAGGTTTAATGAAACACCCTCTCCTTGAGGGCAGTCTGTTTCCTCAAACACTATTAACTATGATGGTTTCAGAAGAAGGTGTGATATAAACCACAGATTTTGGAGCACAACTATAAAAGGATATAATCAGGGACATGCTTTTGGTGATTAATGTGAATGTGTGAGAAGGTGTCTCTGTGATGCTCTGTGCTGAATGTTTAGCTTTAGGTTTGGGGTTTTTCTAATCCTTTCTCTCATAGTCAATTTAAATAATAATTCACAATGGTGAGGGCCTAATCCTGCTCTTACATTAATTGAAAAATCACATTAATTTGATCATTTCTTGCACACAGACAAATTATCTACAGGCATCAATCACTGCTATTGAACTAGTGCTCAGACTGGCACTGGCTTGGGCCACATGGGGAGACCATGGATTAGCTCCTAATGTGATGGACTCACTTGACAACATATATGACACTTGAAGATTTAAATTGTTTGTAAACTCCAGACTGTCTTTCAAACTGTGTAATGGTATTAAGTGGAAAGAAATAACTTACTTTGACTTTTGGCCAAAACACTGTCATAGCCTTCCTTGAACTGTATTGGTTTAGATGTGAATCTCCACTGGCCATCCAGTGACTGAGCACAGAGTCTGCAAAGCTGGGGCAGGTGAGCTGGCAACAATGTCCTTCAGGTGCTGCTTCCAGGAGCAAGATATGTTTGAAAAATCAAAGCTATTATATAGTGTGCTCTGCCTTGTGCTCCCTCTTCAGTGGAGGTTGTAGCTTAGAAATATGCTGGAGAGGCCATGGGAGTTGGGAGAGATCTGCAAGGCCACAGTACCTGGTTTTGGTTTAAATAACATGGTTTTAAGTACACAGGCAGCCCGTCACATAATTTTTCTCAGCTTTTGAAAGCTTTTAGTCTGAAAAGCTGATACCATCCATCTCCCTCCAGTAGTTCAAATTCATGTCAGTTTTGACTGGGATATAAGCCCTTAATAACTTCATTATTGGTACTGGAGTGAACACTGCCTCATGTGCACACTTTGAGGAGATATTTTCATGGCACATCAGATGCTGACTTTTGTCCTCTTTGTCCAATGAGTGAGGCAAAATCTTTGTAGCACCCTCACAACTGGAGGTGAGCGCATTGAGGATTGACACAAGAGGGAGACTCACTCCATGTGTGTGTCTATGATGGTTTATTACACCTTTTTTAATCACACTTTCAGCTCTGTGTCAGGCACAGGTTGCTGCTCTCACCTGTAAGTTTACCAGCATCTGTGTGTGTGACCCAGAGGCGGGTTCTCTACCCTGTTTTGCAGAACTCTTGACTATATTTTTAACACTTTTGATGAGATAATGCTGTAATATTGATACAATTCTTCTGCTGGCACAAAAATTCAACAGAGTAAATAGGATATAATGAGCCACTTTGATTTTAGCCTGGTTTTCATATTTCACAGATGTGTAATTAAATATCTAAGTTTTCAGGGAACCTATTGAAATATATACTGAGATGCATGAATGCTCTGATCAAATTCACAGTAATTAAGATTTTACTGGAGATCTTCATGTGATCCAAGAAGTTTCCCCATGTTTCTGAGACTGCCTAAATTACACATAATGCTATGAGAAGTGTAAGGCAATAATAATTTTAACCATTTTCTTACGTTTGCAGTTATTTTTCCACCTATAGAAGACTCTGACCTCTTGGGGTAAGTGGGGTGGGAAGGCAGCTCAGATGGGCACAACTGTAACGCAATGTCAGCATTAATGTTGCTCTGGAAGGTGAACGCAGACCCGTGTGCCCAGGTGAGCTGCAAACCCTTACACTGTGTGTTCAGGCGGGGAGGGATCCCTTCTTAAACACTTCCAGTGTTTGTACAGGGAGTTTTACACATCAGGACTTTAGGCAAGCTCAGGTCAACTGAATGCATTAAAATAAGAGGAAAAGGCCAAGCTCGTTTTCTCTCCAAAACACTCTGTTCCTGCACTATTCAACATACAATCAGGGAGCCACCTTCACTATAAAACCCTTTTGTCAGTTAATGCAACTGGAAATGCAACAGTCCCTCAGAACATCATTCCTGTCTGTCAAAACTCAGAGTGAAGCACCTACCTCCTCTTGAGATGAGATCACATCAAGGCTTGTCTGTGCAGAAGACAGGAACGCTGGGGCACCAGAGACCATGCTGAAAATAAATCTCATTTAATTTACATCAGCCCAACACCACACTATGGATTCACACTAATGACCCCGTGCCCATGTCCCAGTGCTGTGCTGCCTGGTAGGAAGGGTGAAGGGGGATCAGCGAGGACTGTCTGCAGCATCTCAGTCTCGCAGGTACTTATCATGGAACAGGACTCCCCAGAGAGAGGCCACTTCTCCAGGTCTGTCACACTGAAGTTTGCCTCTGCAGCTGCAGGATTTCCTTAAACTTTCTGGTCCAGTCTCAATTCCTGCAATAACCACCCTCGTTGGTCCTGGGCTGAAGAGCATTTATCCACTGATGATCTTCTCGCTAATGTATCCAGGCATGGTGTAGATCAAAAGAACCAGGAAGATGGTCAGAAGAGCAACAATCAGCAGCACAATGATGTACTTCTTGTACCGCTTCCAGATGAAGAACACGAAAGTCTTCATGGGATTCACAAACCAGTTGAAAGAAGTTTTTGGCCGGCTGCAAGAGGGAGGGAAGAATGCATAAGCACAGGTTCCACCCCCAGAGCAGCACACTGGCCCCTCAGCTTTGGTGCCCTGCTGCCCTCATGGGTCACCAGTTCTTCCTGCTGCTTCCAGACAGGATCATCACAGTGTCTGTGAAAGCACTGGATACAACAGGATGCTGGGCCCAGGACAGTCCCATAGAGCTGTGCCCAGCGGGGACATTCACATGGTTAAACCAGCGCTGCCCTTGCTGTACAAGCAGCACAGAAAGGCATCACCGCCTTGAGAACCTCGCTGAGCTCAGCCCTGCCCCGGATGCTGCAGACCCATCACCCAGGGCCCCTCTGACTGCCCTCAGCTTCCCGTCCCGAAGCAACCAGCGGCTGACAACGCAGCACCGTCCACCAGTGTTAAAGGGGGTAACACAGACACTCACTCGGGCTTTTCCAGGGGTTCAGGCTCTTTTCGGCCTAAGCCAACAGGGTTCTTCTCAGCCTCCTCCACCGTCAGCAGCTGGAATTCGGCTTCCACCTTACCCTAGAGGGAGAACAGGTCTCCCTCCCATAGATGTTTCA